ATTTAAACTCAGATCACTTCACATGATTTTTTTTTTTTACCAGCAGCAACAGGAAGACTGAGGGTCTGGAGTTTTCTGTATGTACTTCTAAAGGTGTAGTGCAAAATTCTCCTTCTTATCTGTCTGTAATTTAAAGTGTAATTTTCTTAAAAACTAGTTTTAAAAATGTGCAACTGAACATTTCAGCTGGTGTCTGATACAAATCATTTCAGTAAGTATTTTCTAGAATTCTCCCGAAGCATCCTGCCTGATTGTGTCATGTTTTAAGATACAAACACTAATTTCTGGAAAAAAAAGTTGGGCTACAACAAACAATTTTGATTTGATTATTTATTGTTCTGCAGATTATTGTTCTGATTAACATTTTAACACTTTGTTCAAAAATGTCAGAAAATAGCCAAATTTGCTCAAAAAAGGTTGATCAATTCATCCTGTCAACCCGGTCTCACTCTGAAGTCGTTGAAATCCAGCGCTTAGTTAGTGACGTCGTTTAACGTTGGCATTATAGGCAGCAGGTCGCCATTATAGTTTAACAGCAGCTGGTGGCATCAGGGGGAAATGCGATGGGACAAGAATGAAAGTTAAGGCTATGAGAAGTCTGAGTAGGGTGGGCGATAGGTCCATCAACCACTGACTTTCATCCAAGAGAGCGGTGTTTGCATCCCCTAAGATTACAAAGCCGTGTGTTTGTTGCCTGAACTCAACCACGTGCGTTTGTTGTTGAATGGGAAAAATTGCTTTTATTTTGAAAGAGACTGTATGCAAACTGTACATTTCCTGTGAAAACAGAAGTGTATTTTGAAAACAGACAATGCATGTAACAGGCTGAAGTTGACACGGCGTCCCAGAACGTCAACAACCAACACACCCAGGGTACCTTGGACGTCATATGTGGACGTGGAAAGTCCATGACCAAACGTGGACATGTGAAGAGGTCACAGTGAGAATGTGTTGATCCAGCGGGTCTCAACTTATGTGGCTTAAAAATGGGCCAATGCTGACTTGTGACTGGAGTCCCCAAAGTCATGGAAAACCTGGAAAAGTCATGGAAATTTGTTGTGTGTAATGAAATTGTTACAGTCATTATCAGTGGAGAAAGTAACAGTGAGGCATTTTTTTTTATCTGTTGATGTAACATAGCTTCAAAATGTGTTGATGTGCGACGTTTGTTTGTTTGTTTGTTTGTTTGTTTGTTTGTTTTTACAGTTTGTTTAGCAAGGCTAACATCCAAGGTGCCACCTGCTGCTCACTCTCTTTTAACACACACTCACACACTGATGGAAGAGCCATCAGCAGCAGTATCTTGCTCAAGCATATTGTGACATGCAGACTGGAGGAGCCGGGGATCGAGATCGAGCCGCTTTGTAAGCGGACCTAAACGTCAAACTTGCTGCTTCAGTTTTGGACGTTCATGGTTGACTTGTCAATTGACGCTTTTCAAAATACACGTGTTTTTACAGGAAATGTACAGTTTCTGCTTGTTGGAGGCATACAGTCTTTTTCAAACATAAACGTAGAATGTAAAATGTTGTTTTTAGGTTTAATTCCCGAAGTTTAGGCGAAAACAGGCCGTGGTTAGGTTTAGAAAAAAACATCATGATTTGGCTCAAGGTGAGTTCTTGCTGACGTAATGTCACGAGACATACAGTATCTCACATAAGTGAGTACACCCCTCCCATTTTTGCAAATATTTCATTATATCTTTTCATGGGACAACACTATAGAAATGACACTTTGATATAACTTAAAGTAGCCAGTGTACAGCTTGTATAGTAGTATAGATTTACCTTCCTCTGAAAATTACTCAAAACACATTGGGTGCCCTATACAGACTTCCTCTCGCAGACAGCCACTGCTCAGTATCATACCGATGTGAAGAGTTTTAACCGACAAAGCTGTTGTATTTGACGAGTTCAGTTGTGGCCGCGGCGTCAGAAATAGCTGCCACCCAGTGCCCATCACACCGCCGTGAACAGCTCCTCTGTACGTTGGTGTCTGACGCTGAAATCATTGACAAAGTGTGTTTGGTGTTTGAACGGACGACAAACTCCTACTCTGGGAGCTCTACTGGTCCGTGTCTGCAGTCCGCCTGTAATAATATGATTAACATTTGGAGTAAAGTGGACCACATGGTTCTGTTGGTATGCCTCGTGAATGGTAATGGAAACTTTATTATGGATCATTGACACATCATTTTGTCCAAATTGTGTCCATGAAAATGTGCAGGAACCCTGTGTGACCATATGTAAACTAGTTCAACTATTATTTCCTGTTTTATTTGGATATTTCTTAAAGACTAGAAATGGCTAAAATTACCAAGCAAGTCACCAAAAAGACAGCATTTGTTGTATTAGAAATATGCTTATTCTGCTTTCATGTCCTGTTAAAAATCTATCAACACCTCTGATGAGCTAACGTCGGACTGATTGTTTCAGCTCTGAAGTTGATTTCTATCGTAAACCAGCTGAGGTATCATAAACCAGGTCCCTGCTCTGGTAGATTCTGTAACTTGTTTTGGGGAAAAAAAAAGATTTGTAGGGTCTGATAATAGAGAGAAACGACTTGATAAAATGGAGATATTGTGATTGTAAAGCGTCGTCTTCACTGACAAACAGCTACTGGAATGAAAATCTGTGCAGTGTGAGTGAAAGCCAACACACTCTTGTTGCCTGACAACAAATTCTGGTTTGTGAAATCAATTTTTAGCTTGTTAGATTTCTTCCCATTAAATGATGCGAGGCGATGACACACACTTCGACCACAAGCATTGACATGCCGAGCAGAGAGAGACCCCAAAACTAACAAGCCTGTGTGTGCTCATGTCCTTCGTCCAATCAGTGTGTAAAACCAGTGAAAATCTCTGTGTTTTCTGTGTCTGTGTGTCCAGGAGCGAAACTAAGCCGGATTTAACCTTTGTGGAGAAATGACGGAGCAGCAGAGGAAATCGAGGGATGAAGGGAAGGAGAGAGGAAGAGAAAAGGCTGACAGTCGGCGGATCTAGCTCTCCTCACAAAACAACAGGATCCACCTCAGTCTGCCTTCCACTCCTGGAGGAGGAGGAGGAGGAGGAGGAGGAGGAGGAGGAGGAGGAAGAGGATTTGGGGGGAATTACATGGAGAATAAAGTGAGCTTCATTGCAGACGGAGGGCGACTGTTTCACGGTGAAGTTTGCTGAAACAAAAGCAGGTCTTCACCTCTCTGGATTATCAGTCCTGAAGGAGGATTTGGGGGTTTTGATTTTTTTTCCTGCTCAGCGAAGGATGTAAAGACACTTGGAATTCAGTTCAAGAGAAAGAAACACTGGAAATTCATTGAATTGTTCAAGTCTGAGCAAAGAGAGCCGGTGTGTTGACACCAAATATACCATTTTTGACTTTTTACTGGCCAAAAAGTTATTTTCAGACAGAGCCGAGACCTGCACACCTGCAAGCCAAACAGATCAGAGGTGAACTTTTATTATGAAGTTGCTGCTCAAAGGGATCATCAGGAAGTTCAGCTCCTTATTTCCTCCCTCTTCAAGCTTCCTGTCTCTCTTCATCTCACGTTGTAGTTTTCCTTTCACCACATTTATTGTATCTCTCCTCTCTTCTCCACACACACCTTCTCCATTTTGCCCCTTTCCCCCTCTGCGTGGTCGGTGAGGCAGGTGTTGATGACAGATAACAGCTGCAGAGAGGCGGCTCATAAAATCAGATGAATCATGTTCAGTGACAGGAGCGGCAGGTAATACAGGCTGAATGTGCCGGCGTTTCTGCAGAGTGTCTGTCATCTTTCTGCAGGCTAATTCCATCTCAAGGACCGTCAGTGGGCGAGCTGGTCGATTATAAAACCAGAGGGAGGGACGCTCTGTTCTCTGCAAAGTCTCAGTATCACTTGTAAAAAGGCATCACTGACTAACAGCTGTGATTTCCTACCAACCTTTTTCTGATTTTTATATAATAATGCAACACAGCCTGTTGGAAAAGATCTAAAGAGGAGATGAACGTGGAGCTCAGAGGTTTGTCTTTAAAGCAACAAGAGCGTGCAGACGACACCAGCTGTCTGAGGTACGTGTGGAGTGAAAGACAAAAACACTTTCAAAGAGAGAATTAACAAAAGCTCCAAATGAGCTCGAGACTGAATCCAAAATGCAAACCGAGGCGACCGCAGTGAATAATCCTGGAACATGTGTATTCAAATGTAAAAATGAGACTTCAGGAAAAAGCACAGAGGTCGATCTCTAACTGAGTAACCGAAAGTCGTCCACAAGTGGTGAAGACAAGTCTGAGCGGTCAGAAAAATGTTTTGAAGTTTAGCTGGAAAGAAAAACCCAACTTGTAGCACAAGCGCTACACCGAGCCCACAATAACGAGGAAAGACATCAAGTCAAATCAACTTGAAAGATTTTGCGGCTACAAACGTTTACCCATAGCACAAAATCTCTTGTAACACTTTTGATAAAAACCCTGCAGAAACCGTGAGGATTTCAGAGAATGAAAGGAAATCGACTGAGTTGATGCTTAAAGCACAAACACCACATGGAGTTTAGATTTTACTCCTCAAATATTTGCTGTTCTTTAAGCACAAAATTTTTGTGACGATCGAAGCACAAACTGTTTTTATCTCTGAAATTAAAACGTCCAGCTGCTCTGGATCTGACAGACGAACAGGTTGATTATAAAATGACCTTTCAAGCACAAATTGTGACCAATATTCAAACACAGATTTCAAATTCAGGTGCTAAAGATAAAGTTTAAAGTTCAGTAAGCACAAGCTGCGTTCAGATTATTTCCACACATAAGTATTCAGGTGCTAAAAAGTATTTTGTTGTGTTTTTTTTTTAATGATTTCAGAAACGCTTTTGTATCAATTCAAAGCACAAACACACCCCTCATAAGCACACAGCGCTTTTTACGCTGATTTGAGAAATAATTCAACATCAGCTGCTGATTTATAAAATAACTGGTGCGCAGACGAGATCAGGGGAGTCGACTAAACCTCCAGACAAATGTTCATATTCAGGCTGCTGCTTTCTGATCTGTGAATGTGTTTGGATAAATTATTGAGGCCAAACTTCAATATTTGACTCGGAGCGTCGCCTCGTCCTGATCCAGAAACATAAATTCAGATCACTTTTAAAGATTTCTCTGTCACTCATATTTAATATTTCACATCAAACTGTTTGCTGTGTCTTGTCAATTTGGGGAGAAAGGAAGTTGTTTTAATCACTCACTGATGAATTATTGAACTGAAGTGAAAACTGCTGGAACACATTACAGCCCGGAGGAGTTTTCTTTTTCTTCTTCTTCTCCTCCTTCATGTCTTATTAATCATCACTGGCCTCGTTTCCACTGCGGCTTCAAACAAACCTCAGGGGACCGAAAACTAAACATTTGGCTGAAGATGTTTAAGTGTTTTGTGAGACGTTACAGGCTTGAAAAAAGCAGTGCGGTTAGTTTAATGTAAGTTTAATAAGAGAAGGTGTCACTTTGATTCAGGCTGAGGAGATCTCAGCGTAGGGAAAGCTGCACATTTCTGTCAGGGAAATTAAAGAATATATATATTTTTGTCATTGTACTTGCAGTTTGCAGGAAGACGCTGATTATTTAATAACTCAAACAGAAGTAAAACATACATAATACATGAAAAGCAGGAGTTTTGTTGTGACTGTGACTTATTGGTGTCACTTTTACTGGACGCAGAAGCTTTACAGTTTAATTTTATATATCTTTTCTCCACATTTGGCCATTTGAGCTGCAGGGAGACATTTTTAAAAGCCCCACAGCTTATATTTATCTTACTGAATCCATCACTTTCAAAGCAGTCGTTAAATGTATTAAAAACCAGGACACCAGAGAGGATAAATTAAGATTTAATGTTTTTTAAATCATCTTCCCTTCACCTTTCTCTGGCGACTTAAGCAGCAGACTTCCAACAACTGACCAACTCGACTCGTTTGTGTTCAACACATTAAATAACTGACTTCACCGCCGACACTGAAACCATTTAACAACACTGAGATTTAACTGAACTGACCTAATTTTTTGCACCTGTGAACACACACCTTCACCCCTCCATCACCTCCACAAACCTCCACAAACTCAAATGAACTGTTTTTCCAGTTTGAAGCACAATCTGGAGAGTGTTTCCCCTCTTCATCCCCCCCCCCCCCCTCCTCCTCCTCCCCTGCAGGGCAGAAACAATCTGCCGCGCATGAATAAAAATTAATTTTTCACCGTGATGAAAAGACACAGCGTCTCGCCTCCTCGCCGCCCGCAGGACAGCAGATAAAAGCTGTTTACTGTGAGGAGACTTCAGAGCAACACAACGCGTCTCATTTATGAAAAGAACAACAAAACCAGGCTGAACAGTGTCCTCCTCCTTTTGTCTTCTGTCTCATAATTGTTTTTGCCCACGAGAGCCAAGCATTAAGAAACACAGGGGTGGGTTTCTCTTTTGTCTTCAGAGTGACAGAGACAACAGGAAGTGAACTCAGCTTGACTCTCAGCTGGGTTTTTATCAGAAGTGACACTTTTCTAAACGGAGACAGACGTCTTTGTTGAAGGAGTTTGACTGATAAAAGCATTTACTAAACTTGATGAAGCACATTCTGGGATTTTAAGTGGCTTCATTTCTTGTGGGAAATCTTTCTTTTCTGAGGGAAAACTCAGACTACAGTGACGCACTGTTAAAATATTTCACCTTTATGAGAATATCATTATTTTTTGCAGAAGAGTCACAGAAGCCACACAAATACACTACATTTGAATTAAACCTGGAAGAAAGCAGGAAACATTTTAATTTCATTTTTTAAGAACTGCTTTGACTGATTTCTCTGAGGATTTCTAGTTGACCTTTGCAAAGGATGAACATGACTCTTCCTACATAACGGATCTTTGTCTGGATTATAAATTTCACCAACTCTTCATTTGGTCTGAAAATTTGTCTGAAATCTGGTGATGTTTTTGGACCCATTTTTGTTTGGCAAAGTTAATCTCAGATTTGGGCGTGGTCATCTGAACAAGAATTATCTTTGTGAAGGTCATTTTGGCTCAAAGGTCAAAGGCTGATTAAGGGGAAAATAAGCAAGAAAACAGACGGCAAAGACGCACCTGAGGACGTCGCATTTGGAGGGTAAAAGTCAGACAGCGAGCTGGATTATTGACTCGTTTCCTGAGGGACCTGCAGAGACAGAGGACAGAGGACGCCGAGATTAAAAAGACACAAAGGACGCAGAGACGGAGATAAGTGTCAGACGTCATCATGGGCTGCAACATGTGTGTGGTGAAACGTCCGGAGGAGCAGTACAGGATCATGTTCCAGGTAAGACCTCAGAGCTCGTTGGCGCCCGTCTGACCAATCAGATGTTGACAGGTGTGTCTACACACACTTTACACATATTGGTTCCAACCAGTTTCTAAACCAGCTCTTTTTCTTCAGACTCTGGTTTCATGGTTTCTGCTGACAGCTGACATTGTGAAGTCTTTATGACATAATGTGTTGCCTTGATATGAGAGACAGGACGTCATCAGACAGTCCTTCATGTTGTTGACAACTCTGCAAACCGCTCCTAAATTTTAGATGTTGGAACGTTCTTGCAAGCACCAACAAACAAACTATTCACAACAGCATCTGCAAGTTTTAAGCAGGCCCAAATGATACTGTGGATTTTTAAAAGTGTTTTCAGCGGTGATCCAAAATAAAAATCTGCGGAATTCTGCAGATAAAGAAGTCACCGATTATGACTGGAGAGTCATGACCATGGTACAAATAGCAACAAAGTGTGGTCTCTTTGCGTCCTAAGGCTGCCTGAAAGCAGCGAGGATAAGGAGCTGGCCTTCAGTGTGTTTTTTCTCATACCAGTGATCAACACATCTGGGTGATGCCATCGTATGTGCATTAGTATGTTGGATGGTTTTCCATTTTCATCCCCTACAATTGAGGAGCAAACCGGCACACAGTCACGTTCTTATGCATAACTCTCTCTCAGGTGTTTAATCTCGTAGATTTATATTTTAATCCTCGAAATCTAAGATTGTTTTTTTCTTAAACATGGCCCAAACCCTCTTTCGCAGACAGACAATATTCATTTATGATAATAATTGTTTTTGAGCTAAAAAACTACTTAGAAGATTTTAGTAGAAACTAACATTTGTTGGAAGAGTCAGTCAGTGAGGGACACCTGGCCGTTAGTGGAAGGTTCAATGTGAGGCAGCGAGAGCAAACATGAATTTGCCAATCTGTTAACAGTAAATCTTATTTTGACTTTTCTTCTCACTGCACCACTAAATTGATTTTAATGCTAACTGAATAATACACATGACTGTCACACACATGCACAAGGAGGTGGAGGAGACAGTGACAACAGTCACAAGCAGCTTTATAAGCAGCGTCTACATTCTTAAAATCTGAGGAAAATCTGCCAGGTTTTTCGTGGCTGATACTCTCTTACAGTTAATATTTTAGAAAATAAAAAGGTGGCTATTGTGAAGAGAAAGGAAAAAGTGATGAAATGATTAATACAAATAAAACATGCAGGTGTGTTTGAGAGATACAGAGGAGGAAGAGGCCGCAACCTCAACTGCTTTTGTTCTGGAGAGAGAAATGAGGGTTTAGGAAAGACTCTCCCTGCGTGTGTGTGTGTGTGTGTGTATGTGTGTGTATGTGTGTGTGTGTGTGTGTGTGTAAGAGGAAGCCACGGCACCATTCATCACTGCAGGTTAGTCCAGTTACTTTCTGTAAAGGTCACTGTGTTATTCTGCCGGGTTTTTTTGTCCAGTCGAGGCTGAAAGTCACAGAGGACTCACAGCCCTCCTGATTGTTCATGGGAGTGTGTGTGTGTGATATGTGTGCGATATGTGTGTGTGTGTGTGTGTGTGTGTGTGTGTGTGTGGATTGTGATGGAAGCATTAATGTGCAGCGTTTCAGTTCACATTAAAGAATAAAGCCTGTTCCTTTAATCGATCTGCTGTGCACATATTTACATCAAACATGTACATTTATTTTACAGTGATTCACTCTGGTTTCACCTTTTTGCAGGTAAATAAAAACGAACAACAACTTATCTGCAACAAAACATTTGCCAGTCGACAGCGCTGACCTGATCACGTTTATAATGTAGAGTATTTCACCTCATATGTGCCTTTGACCCGTTAATAACTCTCTCTGATGTCAGTGAAGGTTCCACTTAGAGAAACTGACTCACTTTAAAGGAATCACTCAGATCATTTTCAAACCATAGACCTATATTACAAAATGCAGATGCCATTAAATACCTTTGTATCAACATCTCCACCAAGCTGTCAGAGCTGCACCATTATTAAAAAGCACTGAAGAAGTCCTCACTCACTGGAACAACCTTCTCATCTCACTAACTGGACAAATAGCAGCTGTTAAAATAACCAGATTACCTTTTGTTTTTTTATATGACACCAGTCCTCCCTACATCACATTGGTTCAACACTAGACTCTATAGACTCTATCATAACTCCACTGGAGACATAAAAACAAACACAAAGAAATGTATCTACCTTACAGAAATCAAAAGACCACAGAGGCCTAGCTGCTCAAACTTTCAGATTGTATCACCCAGCAAACCATTTAGAGTAAGACAAATAGCTCCTGACCCAGTAACTGGTGTCTGACGTGCACACTTTAAAGTCCACCTGTTGTTTAAAAAGGCCAAACACGCACCGGAAACATTATGAGACACGTCAAACAACCCTGATGCCCTAATCTAACCTTGTTTCATGTTGGAGCATTGAATGAGTCCTCAGGAACCAAAGCTGTTTTTTACAAACGCAGGTTTTCAGTAGAAACCGAGCACACACAGTAAATTATCAACACTGACCTCAGACATCCAGTGAGGCAGAGAGGAAACACACAGACGGACAGGTGGACGTGAAGCGAGAGCACAGAACAGTTTTAAGAGCCTCAACATGAATTAACTGATATCAATTTTCAATACAGTTTGAACATTTAACCAGGTTCAATCGATAAGTGTGTTTGATGTCTGTGTTCACGTCACTGAGTGATGAAGAAGAGAAAGAGGGAGACTTTGAATCTGTATGAAAAACAGCCAGAGGTGCAAAAAGGTCCAAAAATTATTTGAAAGAAAATGACTGACAAACTCTGCCTGCCGTCATGTGAACAGAGACCTGGTTGTGTGATGTCGGTATTTTCAGATCTAATGCCTTTAATCTGCCACAGGAGCATCAGCTGACGCCTGTCAGGTGACGCCTGTCAGGTGAGGCTCATCAGTTATCACTTCCGCTTAATGACTCTAGAGCCTGTTGCACAAAACACCTTAAGTTTTCTCCCTACGTATGACACTTAACACTTAATTTTTCCTAAGCTGAGGGACTTATTTCAATCAATCAATTTTATTTATAAAGCCCAATATCACAAATCACAATTTGCCTCACAGGGCTTTACAGCATACAACAACCCTCTGTCCTTATGACCCTCACAGCTGATCAGGAAAAACTCCCCAAAAAAACCCTTTAACAGGGAAAAAAACGGTAGAAACCTCAGGAAGAGCAACTGAGGAGGGATCCCTCTTCCAGGACGGACAGACGTGCAGTAGATGTCGTACAGAACAGATCAACATGATAAATTAGTTAGCAATAAGAGTTAGCAAGATGCAGTAACAGGACATGAGAGAGAGAGAGAGAGAAGGAGAGAAGGTGCCCGGTGTATTATAGGGGGTCCTCCGGCAGACTAGGCCTAAGTCAGCCTAACTAGGGGCTGGTACAGGGCAAGCCTGAGCCAGCCCTAACTATAAGCTTTATCAAAGAGGAAAGTCTTAAGTCTAGTCTTAAATGTGGAGACGGTGTCTGCCTCCAGGACCGTAACAGGAAAATGATTCCACAGGAGAGGAGCCTGATAGCTGAAGGCTCTGGCTCCTGATCTACTTAAAGCGACACTTTCCTTTGTTTAGGTTAAAATGCTGTTAATAAGCTGATGGCACACTAAAATGTAAGTGAATTCCACCAGAGATACAAACTCATAATTATACCATTCTCATATGGTTCTAAGAAAACTCCAACCAATCATTGCATTCGAGCCTCTGAAACATTAATGGTATCTTCCTTGTGCGTTTCCACTCACTAGTAACATTAACAATACTATCTAACGTTAGCACTGTGACCTTATTCTAAAACTCATCAGTCATCACTGACTCCGGTTGAGTTTTAAAACTCCGGGGTTGCGTTTGACTGTCTTGTTGTAACGTTACACTCGCTCTCCTCTTCCGTGTATCTAATGTTACCTTGCCAACGCCTACGTCTATCATAGACGTAATGAGGACGTAATGGAGGAGGGGGATGGGACTTTGGAGGGAGGTGGAATTGTGGATATTCAAATTTTTTCAAAGTGCAAAATTTTTTCAAATGCAAGAAAGGTAAGAGTAGCTTTACTCAAGTAAAAATGTTAAGGCATTTACTGCACTGAAAGATTTTACGGTGGTAAAATACGACAGCTTCCATGATAACCATTTGTTTGCTTGCTTGTGACACCTAAGGTCCTTTGTGCAGTGATCTGACTAACTTTAAGGGATTCCGTAGGTTTGAGACCAAGACAAGGAGAAAAACTTAAATACTTAAGGCAACATTTTAAAGAAACCTGAAGGAGTGAAAGTGATTTTATCTTAAGAAAGCCTTAAGATGGACTTTAGGGAAAATCTTAACTTAAGGTGTTTTGTGCAACCTGCTCCTGTTCTTTACTGTATCTGATGGAGCTGTCCATGGTGCTGAATCCTTGATTAAGGCCCAATCCCATTTCTACCCCTTAAATCTTCCACTTGGTACTGAGTACCCTCGTTTGGAAGTGAGAAATATTAGGGTAGAGATCTTTCCCTAAGAAATGAGACACCACTTCATACAAATCAGTGTGGCCGACGTGCAGGCAGACGTCACGCGTAGTAGCGACGCAAGATACCGGTAGTCATTCAGGTTTGAAATCGCCGGCTCCAGCGCTTGTGTTGTGGTGTGTGCTATGTTTATTCTTCTCCGTCTGATCAATCAACGGAGGAGAAATGCTGAAAACAGGAGCCGCCTACGACGCCTTCTAGTTCTGATCAATTTTGTTCGGGTAAGTCGATTTGTTTAAATATTTTGACGCTGTGAGTTGCTGATGAGTTCAGGCTAGTCCGACCATCTGTTGTTTGTATAGCCTACATTCCGATCGTACAGCAACAAAATGTTTTCCAAAACTTGCCGAAGTTGCTGACTTCGCAAGGTGTTCTGGGAAATTTCATCTTCCACTTTGTTGTAAGTGTGGGTCGGGGCTCCCTTGGAGTCTAGGGCAGGTTTAAGTGTTGGAAA